TAACCTGAAAAATTTATTTTTAATCTTTCCATAGTAAATGCATACATCTTTTATATTTTGAATTTTCTTAATAAATGTAAATTTCTGTATCTAATTAAATCGTCAATTTCTTTAACAAAAAATCAGAAATTTCCTTTTAAGATCTTCAAAATAAACATGAAAAAATATTCAAAACATTTTAATAGAGACAAATATGTATTTTTATTATCAGCTTATATTAAAAAATCTATCTATTTATAACCATTATTTATAGTAGCATAAAAATGCTACTATAGTTATTTAGATAACGTAATACTTGACAAAAAATAGTTACTCATTTTCCATTTTTAAATTTTAGAAAAGTTTTAATTAATCAGTAACTGTAAAAAAATCAATTTTCAATTACTATGGTTAAACTGAAAATTGTTTTACCACACTAATCACATATTATGCATGCACTAATCGAATTTTAGTATATAAAAATTTTAGTGCACTAATCAAAACATTAATTGAGGGATTTTTTTGTGTGTATATATATATATATATATATATATATATATATATATATATATATATATATATATATAACTTATAGGTGCATACATACATACATATCTGCAGTAATGCTCTCCAAAAAACCTTCACCAGATGAATATGACTGAAGTCAGGCATAAGTTCAAGGCTGGAACATTAACTCTAACACAGGGTGCTTTAGAACCTTCAGACTGTCAGTTGATTTCCAATCATATGGCTTAAAATATAAATGCCACATTTAACTAGAATGCAATTTTTTTTACCAGGTTTTAGATTTTCTTAACATAATTCCTTTTTCTAAAAGTTTTTCATTTTTAAGAATTTCAGCTTTTACTAGATTAAAATAGCTTAAAACCTATTATATCAAACTTCAACAAGGAATACTACATTTCAGATTTTCCTAAAATTTGTTCAGATTCTTCAAAAGGAACTTTTAGCTCCACAATTTGAACAATTTTAGAATTATCTGACCAAGTTAGGATGTCAGAATACTGACCAATTAAAAATAGTGATTTCAGTGCAAATTTAGAGACATAATCCAAAATTAAATGATGACTTACCAATCAACTAGCACTATCAAATGATATTTATTTATGTTACTGAACAAACTATATTTCTGGAATTTCTTTTTATAAAATTCTACTTTGATTGGTAGGTTGAAAGAATTTCTATTAACCTCCTCAGAGTACACCCTAACAGCTTCAAAATGTTTTAATACTTGGCTATATATATATTATTATTATTATACTAATACTTGTAAGTATATTCAAACAAATTGATACCTGAGGAAAAAAATTGAAAAAAAAAAAAAAAATCATCTGAACAGGGCGAAACAAATCATCCAGTGCCTTAAGATTTTAGTCCGAAGAAAAAACCCAAGCCAGTAATAAAGCTAAAATGTGTGTGTGTGTGTGTATATATATATATATATATATATATATATATATATATATATATATATATATATATATATATACACACACACACACTTGATATACAATAATTAGGTTAAGTTTAAAAAATATTTTCATCTGTTTAATAATATTATTATCAAGCAGAAGAAAATGGCAACCATTTTTGCAATTCTTACTTTAATTTTAACTTAGTTTCTATCCACTTACATGATTGAATAGAGTTTATTCTTGGTTATCATTTATTCATTCAAATTCAATTTAATTTTAAGCATTTGATTCTATTAATACTTTCCAAGATTCCCAAAAGTTCTGATTAGACTTTTTTTATTAACAACTTGTACTGAATATCTGGAAAAATTTGAATTCCAAACATGATAAATAACATAAAAATTCAGTATTATTTACTTCATAATGATTATTTTATAGGTTAGTTGCTGCACTTTGTGAAATTCAAATTTAGCTAGTAGCTGAATATTTAGTAAATGTAATGGGATACAAAATTCTACTCTGCTGACTAATGAATTTGAATACAATATTTTTATTCTAATTACTAACTTGTCCAAAGATAATATTATAGTTATACAATAAACTATATATATATATATATATATATATATATATATATATATATATATAACAATTGAAAAGAATTCCATATCATCAAAATTTCAATTTCTTTGATAAAAAGAAACAAAACATCTGTTATTGATAAAGGATTGCTATGATAAACAAGAGTAATTATTACAAAGGAAAACAATTAAAAATTTTCATCTATTAAAGAAAATATATTAAATGAGGCAATAAATTTTTCTAAATAATCTATAAAAAATTGTAATGACAACATACAAATAATAAAATAATGTAGAAAACTCTTTAATGATGTCCTGTTAAAATGCTTTAGAAAATTTAAAAGTTGTCATGTAATAATGTTTTTTTTTGGCATAGAACAAGTTTGAAATTTGTTTTAGTCTATGATTAGTGTTCTTTTATGTAGCATATATATATATATATATATATATATATATATATATATATATATATATATATATATATATATATATATATAAATATGATATTTATTAATGGATTAAATAGATTTATCTGACCCTAACTACTGGTGCATATGTAAAACTTTAAAACCAGTCACAAAATAAGTCCTTTGAAATTTTCTTTATCTGTTGACTATAAATATATTGCAAGTATATGAGACTAAATTAAGACATTTGAAGAGAATTAGTTTGTTAATAAAATTTTAATTTATAAGTAACTAGATGTTTGGACATACAAAATCATATTTTCATTTACAGTTTTACTTTTATATTTTTAATTGCATCCACAAGATTAACTTTTCCCATAAATTACCTTAGCCTCTCATACATACAGAAATATTAATTTTCCAAAGAAATATTTTCACCAAATAATATTCACTTATTTAGAAAAAATACACCCAATCTAATTTCATTCAAAATTAAATTGCAAACATTCTAGTCAAAAATATAAAGAATTTATCTGCAAAATAAAGTTAACAATTGCTTCTAGAATAACAATTTGAATGAAAAAGAAATTCTAAATTCAATTTGAGTTTCATTAACTGCTGATAGCGAAGAACTTAGGATATTATTATAAAATAAGCAACATAAAAATAGCCTAAAAGATTTAAAAGGTAATTGAAATCAGAATTTACATTGAATTTATCTCATGGATATAATTATAGCAAATAATGGAAAGAGAATACTAGACCGAAAATACATCTCATTTTTGTAATCTAAAAATAAACATTTATTGGGAAAGCTAAGAAAATTTTAAAATAGATTTAATTATTTAAGAATGCTTAAAAGTAGTTTATCTTTAGGATAGTTATCGCAGAAATAAACATGCAGTGTTCATTAAATAAATGTGTACCAGTATATAAATGTACTACTATAGACTTTATATAATGTTATTTTGTATTTGCTACATTTTTTATTTGGATGATTATAACAAAGTTCCAGGTAACATGACTTATTTTATCAGTACAAAATTATAAAAAGTCAATCATAACCTTTCTGTACAGAAAGTATGAATATTATTTCAGTAATTGTTTATTATATGAAAATAAAAACAAGTAAAAAATTAAATCAACTGGAAAGCATGAACAGATGATGACAATAAAACATGTGTCTTACTATTTCCACAAACATTGATAAAAATAGACTTTAAAATGTTACAGAAATATCATGTAATTTTTAAGTATAAAAGTATGTTGAGAAGATAATTTGTAACTATCATGTAATTAAAACTTATTAAATTTTAACATAATATTGAGTAGGCTAAAGGTTTATTGTAATACTGTCATTAATAATATGGTTTTGCTCGATCTAAAATATGATTCATTTTTACAAATAGGAAAATCTTATCCACAAAGCTGTAAAATTGAAATAGTTCATTGATATGAAAGCTATGAATAGAATCTTTACAACTGACAATTTTAAATTAACTGTTTCAACTGATATCTTTTTGAATAGTTTGTGAATTCTAAATAAATATTTTTCTAATTGGAAATAATATTAGGAATTTCTTTTAAAGTGTATTAATCTTTAAAAATTTGTACATGCAGAATTTTGAATGAAACATGATACCCAGAAGTGAATAAAAGACAATGATTTCTATTCTAGTTACTGAATTGCTTCAAGATAAGATAAAATCCTTCCTCAAAAATGAAATTATCCAAAGTAATCTCAGAGTTGTTTTTCTATCTAAATTAAAACAGAAAATATAAAATATGAGAAATTCAAGAAATATTTAGTACAAAATATGCTGTTTAGTCATATTGCTAAAGTTTAATCTGTACAAATGATCTTAATCACTAATTCTATATATAATTTTCCAACTGTGTATTGTAGCAAAAAGTTTAATTTGGGCAACTCATCTGATTTGCTAAAATACAAAATAAACAAATTATACATGAAATTGGTAGTTAAAATAATTATGTTCAAAATTAATAAATTGATAATAAAGTTATTTGCAACATAGGAAAACTCTAATGATATTGTTTTTTAATTTCCAAATAGTTTTTTTAAAAAATGTTGCCTTGTATAAGACTAAACATGCAAAATGTTTTTGCTTATATCAAATATCTGAAATGATATACACAAGATGTTATGAAAGAGTTTGTGATTCAGTTAAACACAGTGTCTATAATAAATTATAGGTTTAATTTTAGGTTGCATAGGTTTGCTCTTTTAAAATTGCACTTCTAACAAGAGCAGTTTTGGTTTGAGCAAGTAAAAACCACTTGAAAAATATAGCCAATGAATCTACAGCAGCATCATATATGCAAAAGGTTTTGTTTGGAAAAAAGAAACAACTTTGTCAGAAGCATTTGCAATGATGCAAGAAATTCTTGGTAATCAAACTTGGTGGTGTTGAAACTACACAAAAAGATCCTTGGAAATTATGATCTTACCAGATAATTCTGGTTTCAAATTTGTGAATGAGTCATATCAAATGTTCATATATCCTGATAAGACTTCAAAAGGAAATTTAACTATTAATTTCTTACAATTTGTTTAGACTGACTAAAAGAAATTTTTTTTACTGGGCATAAAACAAGGATGAAGCTGAAATTAGATAGCTTACAGAGACAGACAAAGAAAGCATGAATGAGTCGTTCTTATATTAAAGCAATATTAACTGCTGTTCTTGTTGCAGAGAATTATGAAGAGTAAATCTACATTTGTTTCAACTAACAATAAAATTTATGTAAAGATTTTCAAACATTTGTATAAGATGAAACAGAAATGACATGACCTTGCAATCAAGTCTAGCTGTTTGTACTACAGCAGATATTGTTCAGAAATGGCTAGCACAAAAATATTGACAATTGTCCTAGAAACAGCATAATTCCAATTTTTAGTCTTAAAGAAAGAGTCATTTTTAGTTAACAGAAAACATCAAAACAGGATTCATTTAATGAAATAACAAAATTTGCAAATAACAATTATAAAAGTATTTTAAGAATTAAGAAAAAATAGCAGTAGTGTGCTGATACAAAAAGTGTATATTTAATAAACATTTACTTTTAATTAATTAATTTAATAATTTTACTTTTTTTACTACAAATTTAACTAATTAGAAATTGATTTTATCATAGTTTGTATTTTATCTTAAAATAATGCAGTTAACTAATTGCAGATGTTTGTCCTTAACAATATTTTTCAATTTAATTATATTATTTGCAAATCATAAAATGTGTTGAATAAAAAGACTTAAATCTGCACATATGAAGTTTGTTTAAAACAATGCTTGCACCAAATATATAAACATTGCAGTATCAGGTTATTGTACATAATGCTATGCTAATTTCCCAATTCAATATAGAACTTTTACTGACTTCACAATGTTTTCAGACATGAAAGAATTTAATTAGTTAAATGATAAAAATTTGGAGAAATATAAAATTTAATCTGTAGCAAGATGAATAGTTTAGCAGATATGTATAACAGCTAAGAGATATAAAAATGATATGCACCAAATACCAATAAAAAGTAATTATAATTTTTTTTTATGAGATATTCAGCTAGGTTGCATTGAAAACACTATGTAAATCTTTTAAGGATTCATCTCCTGAGAGTTGCATAATAGCTTTTAGACCTACCTTGAGATTTTTTTTTACTGACTAAATATATTACAATTAAACTCCTTTAAGAAGCATTTCCTTTGTGGATACTATGCCATAAAAAAAACATTTGATAAAGATACTCTACTATGGTTGTTGGGCTGATTTGAACACAGCCATATATACCAATTTGTAACAGGAATTCTTTTCATTTTCTTGTATGAAACATTGTGAAGCTATTGTACAGTTAATGAGTTTTTCTTTATTAAATTTCAAAACTTAGTAAAATAATGGCATCTGCTTATGTTTCATTACAACACTGTCAAGTAAAACATGCTTTTAAGAACTGATGTTTGTTCTTATAGAATACTTGAATTTCATAACTGAATTTTTTCCTTGTAAAAATATCTTTATTCAATTCATTATTAGAAATAGAATTAATTACTAGTCTTGCCATTTGTCCCTTGAACAAATACAATAACAGAGCAAGCACTAAAATTAAGATTATTTTTTAACATGAGAAGTTATTTTTAAATTTGTTTGTTTTTTAATTCACTTTCAGATTTTTGCTAAGGTAAATGATTTAATTCCATTTTTAAATGAAATAAGTATTCAAAAACTGCCTTTACTTTAAAATTTTGTCAGCATATATAGTTACTGATATGCAATCAGTCTCTGTCTGTAAAACCAATAAAGCAATGAACTAATACATTCCTTATTGTTCTAACTTAGCCTGCTACCATTTGTCCCAAGTCTCTTCTCACCAGTCAATTATGATGACTCACAAGTAACAGGAAAAGTAAATTATGGCTTGATTAAATTATTTAAACAAATATTTAAAGAAACCTGTTAGTTTTATATCAAGAATGTTTAAAATACAGTCAAACATTGCCTTCCCTATTATTTGCTTTTCTTTGACAAAGATTTTTACTTAAAAGAATGTGTTTGTATTGGACTATATATATATATATATATATATATATATATATATATATATATATATATATATATATACACAAGCATGCACAAATCAAATAGAAGAATTCAACAATTGCAATATTAAATAATATTCTTTAAATCATTTCTACAAGCCCTAATTTATATCCTCACTTTCAAGAGCAAACATTAGGTTCTATTTCATAAGGTTCTTAAAATTTTCAAAAGTAAACAAATATAAAATAAAGGTTACTTGAAAATAATATGCCTCACTATATTCAGAATCCTATTCTATTTAATTTATTCTAATTTAAACTCTCGAGTGTTACTTTTAGTCTTGAGCTATCTTTCAATTCTTACTTTCCTGAAAGTACAATTAAAATCACTTTAACAACAAATACCATCCTATACACACACAAAGCAAATAACATTATAGTTTTTATAATACAGATATAGAAGTAGGACTAATTTTAATAATAATGACAATGTTTTCTCTTTTTCTTTCCACTATCTAATGAATCTAATTTTGTCTACTAAAAAAACAAATCACATAGTTTTATCAATTTCCATTTTTATTAGAATTGATAAGGTCTACCTACTCAACATAAAATTGTGCAGTTATTTTTATGTTAAAGACACAACAGAAAATCTAATAAATTCATTTGAAGGAACAATTAAGTAATTTTATCAATTTTTTTTTTTTTTTGGAGATGTTAAAGGTAAAACAGTTATATTAAAAATTCTGTTTATAAAGCAATGATAAAGTAACTAAAAAACTGCATGATTAAATAAAATATTAACAAAAACTACCAAAATTTGTTTCTTGATTGAAAATTTATGACTAACAAGCATATTTTAACATATTACAATTATGTTAAGTTAGTTCTATCAAAATAACATTAATTTAAAAGACAAGTTAAAAATATAATGTTAAAAGGGGATTTTTAGAGTGTGGTCATGTTATATGAATGTAAACTGTCTATAATGGCTCCTAAAGCTGAAAGTAATAAATAAATAAAACAAAACAAGCATCAGTATCCCTTCTCTATAATAAGTTTTCATTTCTTATATAGCAAAACAAAATATTAACGTAATCTTTCAGCTCTAAAAATTTTAATACAGCATTATAGTGTTTATCTTTTTAAATACTAAGTGAAATAACTAGTTTTGTTGCCATTAAAATAGGTTCTTGATGTAAAGTTCATTTTCTTCATGTGAGTTGAGGTCTCTTTCTAAATAGAATTGACAAAGTTTCTTTTGACAAAAGAATCTATCTTCAAAAGAGGCACAAAATATTTTGATATTGATACAAAATAAAATGTATTATGCAAATTTAGCAAAAACAGATAATTCAGTAAATCCTTAATATGGACAATTTATGCAATTTTGTATTTTATAAAAGGTTTAAATTCAATGGAAAATTATTGGCATAAAATCACCTAGGAAGATTAGTATTGTTTATTTTGAATTCTTTAAAACTGACATTAATAATGAAATGTCAACTTTATTGATGATATCATAGCTCCAGTTCATTAGTGAGTAGTATTTATGTTAATTTCATTTTATCATTTTATAAGGCAGCTACATATTTTAGATCTACTCAAATTGTACTTGAGGTCTTTAAGCATAAATATAGAAAAAAAATAAGGATTTAAGCAAAAAGAAAACATAAAATTTACATGATGATTAGACCCTAACCGGGTTTAAACAATTTTAAAAAATATGGTATTTCTTCTAAAACATTTGGTTCATGATCTAGGAGAATATCATGGCACTATGCATCACCCATGGCATCTGTAGAACAAGGAGAGTTGTTAGACAGAGTTCACTCAAAGTTATATGAAACCAAGATCTGGTAGGTAACAATAGACAACTATCAGAAAAAAATGATGACCTTTGTGAATTTTGAAAAGAATACAATGATTCCTTCCAAGATTAACTTTCTCATGATTATTATCATCATGTGAAGAGATGACTAGGGAAACTGACCAAAGGTGTGCTAATCCAGACTTCACTAACGGTTTCTTTATATGGTTTTATCATATTTACGAAGATACTCATCTCTTCACAAATATGATAAAATTTTACCAATCAATCAAGAGAGATAAGAGTAATTCAACACTTGAAAAAAATTATTAGTTAAAAACAAATTCTTACATAGACTGAAATTTATGATAAGAATACTTAAAATAAAATACCAAATATTGCACACATGAAATAGTAAAAAAGTTTGACTAGAAGGTACCTATGAGTAGAAAGAATTGACTAGATAAAAAAACATATACATTGTGTGTGTATGTGTATCAATACACACTCATATATATAAAATGTTTATAAAATCTATATAGATATTAATAGACACACAACAAAATGTATATTGCTTTGAAAATATTCCATGGACAGAATTTGTATTATTAAGCTTTATATTAACTGAAATAAAAAAAGGAAATGTTGTAGTTTTATGCTAGCACTTTTGGGATTAATTACTTGTATACATAATTGGCAGAAGTCACTTGCATTTTCTTGCTTATTTAAGCTATCAATAAAGTCCCCCCACCTTTTTTCTTTACTTTTCTAAAGTTGGAAAGTTTTCCATGAAACTGTGAAAAATTAGAAATATTGTTGAGTTGATTTCTTTAGACTGATGTCGTTAAGAGAAGAGACATTTAGGTATGTCCTCTAAAAACCTTTCAAAAAGCTAATATACTAGGCAATAAATGGTTTACTTTTGATAAACATAGAAATTAAAGCATTATCATATGAAAGATTAATTCAAGACTAATAAAATAAGGTCATTTTAGAAAAACTCATAAATTAAATATTTTTACATTTTCATCATCTTCTCAACCACATAGAGAATGTTTTTTTTCTGGTAAAATCAGGTGCGAGGTAATGTTTGGCTCAATTTCAAATATAATAGTACTTAGTTTGATTTGAACTAATGTGTTTGTGTTTTATACCTACTTTAACACAGGATCTACAAAATATGCAGACATGCAAATAGACATTACTACTAAATTATTTAAAAATGTTTGTATATCAATTTATTTTTATTAGACATAAATTTTAAACTAAAAAAGCTTATTATGAACAAATAAAGCTTATTATGAACAAATAAAGTTCATTTTTATTTAGTGAAAAAGTAATAAATGCATAAAAAATGCATACCAGAAAAATGAACTCAGAAGGAAATTTTGGTGATGGAGTTTGAAATTATTAGTTGATAATAGAAGTTTATTTATTTTCCTTAAAACCTATTATAACATATGAGAAAATGTAATAACAAGTAATAATAAAACTAAAATTATTAATCAAAGCAATCACATGTAGGTTGGTAAACAATGGAAGTTTTTTTTATAAACCATAGAAATATTTATCTAATGCTTTATGTTTTTGATGTAAAGTAAACTTAATAGAATAGCAAACAAACATTATACCCTGTAATATACCCTGTTGAGAAAAAATATATCTGATATATAAAAAGTTATAGAGCAAACATATATTTCAAATTGTTTTGTTTGAGGAAAATTATCCTTCTGGCCAACAAATGTTGAAAGTTTTAATTCTTGGCTCATGCTTAGTAAACGCATAAAGAATCAGCAGTGTCTTTCGATGCAGTTCTTTGTGTGCATGTGTCACACAAGCCTTGCACACAATATATGCTTTAGCTTCTCTCCCACATTCTTTTTATGCCAGTAAACTACTGTCCAGAATTATTCTGGAAAGCTAGTCATCACATTTTTATGATGATTCAAATAATTAAGTTGAATTATAAAAAAAAAAAAAGATAATTATTTAATTTCCTTTTTGTCAAGAAAATCCAACAGACTCTCAAATAAAAATGAAAAGCTTCAGAAGTGATAACTTTTATTCGTTTAAAGTTTTCTTGGAGCCTAATGACAGCTTTGTTTGAGGATCAATATTCAAGCCGAACAAATTTGCCTTTAAGTAAAATGTGTTTTTAATTAATAGTACATTTTTCTAAATCAATGAAGGGTATTTCATAGAAGAATATTTAAAGTATAAAAATATTATTAAAAATCTCATAAACAGCTGTAACTGTCACACTTGATGTATTTGAAATTAAATATTGTCATTTGTTTAGTGTACCCAGATGACCAATAAAACTGACAAAATTTAAAAAATAAACCAGCAAACAAAAATAAAATTATAGACAAAAAAGAAAGCAAAAAAATTATCATCATGTACTCAATCATTTGTAAAGGTTGTGATGGCTTGGTTAGTGATCATCACCATCATAGTGCATTTGCATGTCCAGGTAAGTTAAATAAATGAAAAGAAAAATGATCAGCATCTATGTTTTACTTTTATCTATTTATTTTTTTGTTTTGTTTTTGTTAATAAGAATCTTGACCAAAAAATACGAATATCTCACCTGACATAGATTGGCAGTGGCTGCAGAGTTGTTAGTTCCAGAAGTTCCAGCCCTGACAGCCGAGATGGCAGCGTGGTTCTGGTGTGCTGGAGAAGACGACCTTCTCTCCATTGGAGGTGCAGACGGCCCGACAGCCGGGCCAGCTGGACTGACAGCAGTAGCCATGCCAGTAGTAATATTAATACTAGTGTTATTATCCGCAGACTGCGAGGAGGATGAGGCTGCTGCTGGTGTCGGAGGCAGTGGAGGTTGTTCAGACTGAGGGTGAGGAGGGTCCAGGTCGGTGTGATGGAGCAGCTGGCGATGTGACGAAGGCAGGTCGGGCGGCGGTTTGCTGGATTTGAAGCCGGCGCTCTGCGACAAAGACGGAGCCGATAATGGCGAGGCAGCAGCGGCATTCACGATTCCGATATCACAACTGTCTTTCTTCTTCCGGTAACTGGAAGACCTTTCGAATTTCTGAGAGTCGGTAGCAGCGTGAGACGGTGATGACGACTGCTGGCCCATGCTTCTTAGTCAGGCTTTAACACTCTCTCACACAAAGAAGAGTTGAGTAACAGATAACTACGACGACTACTACTACTACGACTACTACTAAACCACTAGCACCAACACTTAAGGTTAGAACCTTAAAAAAAAAGCTGTTACACAGCAATAATTGGAGAAAAGAAACAGCAAAGAATAACTCAAAGAATCATAATCTTAAACCCAAGCAAAATGCCTAGACAGATTTTTCGTCAGTTTATCGAAAGAGATTATTTTAAGATGAAAAGTTGTGTATTTACAAAATAAACCTTTTAATTAAAATAATACACTCAATAGTCAATACTGTTGATTAGTTTAAATCATGGCAATTTATATCTATCTATATATCTGGATAGGTGGATAGAAAGATCATTTCAAATAAAGAAAGGATGTCGCTGTTGTTGATGTTCTTGTACACTAATTCTTATGTCACCAGGGGTTTGGTTGGATCACAACTGATTTCAATATTTTCTCTTTAATTTTCAATTTCGTTGAACAGTACTAAAAGATCTAAAATAAATATAAAATCAGATTGACTAGAGAAAATATGCGATGTAATCTATCATCAATTTGGTACTCGCTCTACTTTTGAGTGTTGTGTATTTGAACATGAACCTAGTATTTTTAACGAAATTCGTGTTAAAACATTGGGAAATATGGCAGGTAGAAGCTGTTTTCTTGTTTCTTCATTTAATTGTTTCTGTAATCCACGATAAATTTGATTTGAACACAAATCTGATGCAAGAAAAATTACGGAGACGATAACAAAAATATTATTGTACAAAAAAGTAATAATAATAATAATAAAATAATTTTTCAACAGAACGATAGTGAAATTAATAAAGACAATTTTCATCCCATCGGCAAAAATAAAATAATAATAAAAAATAAAAATAAATTGGAAGACGTGTAAGAAAACGAAAAGAGAACTGGAAAAATATATTATTTACGATATGTATCGTAAGGGATTGTTGTTATTGCCATTGTTATTTTCATACACGATGAGAAATTATTGCGGCTTGCTTCTTCCACCGCGGTTGTAGTACAAGTAGACATGGTTTTATCTTGCCGATAGAATACCGACATAGGGTTAAAACGGCGTATTTTCACATCGTCATTTGCAATACATCCATTTCCGGGTGAAGTATCCGTGGTTCGAGCCTCTCTTCGACAATTCTGAATCCGATGCTCTCCTCGCTTTTCTGTCCGTCACAGCTGACATACAAACTCGAGCATGAGGAAAGAAAGCAATTGATGATGACGAAAAAGCTTTGTTTGGAGGAGGAGGAGGAGAGAAAAAGTACTAACTTTTTCCTTATCTTTTTTCCGATTCTTTTCTTCTCTCTTGCTCCCGTTGTGAAATCAGTTCGTATGTAAGTTTAAGTAAAGCAGTATTTGTAAACATGGGTGGCTGGTACTTTCTCTCAACGTTTTGCCCATTAAGTTTGTGTGTGTGTGTGTGTGTGTATGTGTGTGTGTGCTTGCTTGCTTGCTTGAGTGTGTGTGTGTGTCTGTGTGAAAGTGTGTGTGTGTGTGTGTGTCTGTGTGTGTGATGTCTGTACGTTATTATCTCCTGTGATCTCACTTAGATGCTACTTCACTTCATAACACACAGCCAAGGAGGCCACAGCAAAAAAAGAACTCCGCTTTAAAACAGAGATTATAGAGCTAGTCTTTGTTAAGTTGCTAGCTCAATAATAGTGTCTTGTTCTTCTAGGGTTGTTATTACTCCGACTAACGAGAGTCATGTCATCATGATCTGTCTCCGTGAATGTGTCCCCACTCCATAAGGTTGCTCAGCATTATAAGCGCAGCTGTTCACAGCCATGTTTACCAACTGGGTTCCGAGCGTGAGAGCCTTTGTTGTAAGCACAACGTTTTCTGATTGGTTCAAACGCTTGTCAATGCATTAGCAACGAAGATTTCGATTGGTTAGTTAATTTGTCTAGGCAACGACAAGCTGACCTCCCTGTGTCATCATATCATACACAGGAAAGTAGCTCCATCTCAAAGCAGCTTTCCTCCTTCCTCATCAGTTCTCTTTTTCCATTTATTCACTCACGATTCACTTTCTCTTCATACTTTGTCACAATCTTTAATGTCGTTAACATTCTGTTTTATTTGTTACAAATATTTTAAAGTTGTTTTCACTCATCGTTACAACTCCTATTCTTTTTTTCATGTATTTTTTTTAAAAAATATTACTTTTTTTTAGTATTGGGTCAACGATACAAGTAAAAAAATATATTTTTCATAGTTTGTGATTAATTAGGACAGAAAATATTTTTGCTAATTGTATGTTAAAAGTATAAACTTGTTTCTACACATTTTCGCGTAAGTTCGCGAGTAAGAAGACGTAACAATAAGACTAAGAGTAGTACGATACCAATAAAAAAAAAGTAGTTAGAATTGAATAATCATATTCGTTGTTTTCAAAAATGAAACTCGGGCATTGAAGTGCTTAGGAAGAAATATCAATGTATTGTAGTCAGATTTATTTGTCTTTCAAAAGATATAAAGAAGCACAAACAAGAATGTAAAAAGTAACTTTATTGTGGAACGTGTGATTTTACTTTTAAAGGTGGGGGCTTTTCTCGTGAAGAAGTGTGTGACATTCATTGCATCCATATGATTTATGATTCACGTGTATATTGTGATACAGATAACTCATAAAGTACCTCCTACCCCTCTATACCATTCTTTCAACTCTCCCAAAAAAAGAGTGATGCACATGTACAGGTAGGTACTAAACACTTTGCTGGAATAACTTAATCACTACAAAACTTTATAGTAAAAAAAAGTTTGACGGTTATAACAAAAAGTAAAATAATATTAAAAGAAATTCTGACCTTTTTTCAGTTGTTCATTTGTTTTACTAAAACATAAGTTGGCTAAATGATGATCAATTCTGAATTAGTTCTATTTTAATTTAATTTTATGTATTTTTTAATTAAAAAATAACTATTCATCTGTATATTTAGAATTATAGCACAGTAATCCAATATTAATAAAAGAAAAAAGTTTCAACAAAATCATAAACATGAAGTGAAGAGTAACTAAATACAGTTGTTGGAGCCCATTGAGTTTAATTTTAAAAGAATAAATGTATAAACTTTAACTTTTGATCTTAATTATGAAAAAAATGTACTCATTTTCAGAAAAACACATATTTGTTACTGTCATCACTAAACTATATAATTAAAAAGACGATAACTAGAGATTAAAACAAAAAATAAAACTCAAGAATGGAAAACTATCATAAACTAATTTAAAGTATACAACTGAAACATAGTTATAAATTAATAAAATAAGAGTATTAAAATATATTTAGTAAAAATGCTTATCATCTATTTTATGAATTCAGAAATTAATTTTTCCATTAATAGTAATCATTTATTATGAGTTAATTTTTAAGGTTGCTATGAAAAATAAAAATACAAACTGACACATATTTTGGAAGTTTTGTGGATAATGATTTATTTTTGATGAATAAAATATGCTGAACTATCTACAAAATATACAATGATTATACAAAACTCCTGCTAAAGGAAGTTTGCTCTGTGAATAAGTCTAATTTTTATCAAGCATTTTTGACAACATAAAAATTTATATAATAAAAAAGAAATGTAAAATTATATAAAAATAAGGGGTAAATAAAAAATAATACAATAGACTAGGTATGTTTATACTTTTGAGGGAACTTTTTACAAAAAGATTAATAGAAGAAAGTTACTAACACATATTCTTTAAATAACCTACAAAATTGAATCCAGACAGTAAAAAATGGCCTGATTATGATATGTAAAACTGTATATGTGAGGTTCAAATTGATGCTGTAAAAGAACCACCTAAATTAAAGCCTGACAGTTTATAAAAAAGATAAATGTATAAAATTTGTTTTTCAAAACTTGTAAAAAAAGAGGCTCAAGTCTGATGGTCTGAAAAACCACCATAATAAAGTTTATAAACAGACATGGTTTAAAGAGACACATTTTGTGATTTTTTTTATCAGTGAGTAAAGTAAGTTATACCCCCTTTGTTTTCAAATTTTGATTGAATTTGGAGCCATTTTATGACTATTTAAGAAGTCTAGTTGATCTGATAAAGAGAAGGCTTTCAGCATTCATAAGAAAAATGTTGACTACTGGAAGCTGAAGTTAGATAAAGAAGAAGAAAAGCAGTAGGGTTTTGGCATTCACAAGGAAGATGTTGGCTGGTTCTGGTAACTGAACAAAAGAAAAACTAAAAATCGCAAAAAGAAAGAAGCTGTAAAAAGTAACAGAAGGAAAAAATAAAAGGAGAAAATTATACAAATTTAGAGAAATGTACAATTATCTTTCTATAGTTGTTTGTGAAAGATTGTCACAAAATTAGAATTATTAACCCTGATTTTGAACTTTTTATGAAAATACGAGATTTACCTCATTTCGCTTTCTAAAACTGAACTACTGTCTAAACAAGAAACCTAGCAACACCTATGAATCATCAACTTTCTCAAACCATTTCAACAGTCAAATCGAAATAAGTAAACATTTTGTTGATATTAATTATAATTGTTTTTACGAGCCCATCAAAAATGTAATTAGAACTTATCCTGCCTAGTGTTAGGTGCACGAAGAAAGATTTTGTGCAAACTTCTTTTGTAAATGTTGTATTCTGTGCTATTATTATTTTTTATGTCATTTAATAAATGTAAATTTTTTTCAAATTTCATATCAGAGTAAGAGTTTTGATTTTTTTTTTGTTTGCACCATTCATAATACTCTAGATAAGACATTTAACATTCTTTCTTCTCTTCCTCTCCTTTCAAAAATCCTTTTAAACAATAGCAAAATCAAAAAAGATTTGTTTAAAATCTACCTTTCCAGCAAAATTAAACTACATGCATTCTTCAAAAGAAGGAATATGATTCATGAAATAATGAATGCCTCTTATTCTTTTACTTTTGAGAAATTGTATATTTTATCTATATGAGTAAACTA